AAAAAAAGAGAGTGCCAAGAAGCCAAAGAATGCCAAGAAATGCCCAGGGTTGCTGACAAAGAAAGACTTCCCCCTGGTTTGGACTTTGAACCTTCAAAACTGCTCTTACACCCACACCCTTCCACCATTGTGCATTGCTATTCATAGCAGTCACCATAATACATCATTAAACATATGCCTGTGATCATGCATGCAATGTTTGATACCCCCAATAAAATACAAGCATCTTCATGTCAGGAACAATTATCCACTTGGATGACATACATCACAGCCGTTCACTGGATCTAGCTCTCCACTTCGGGTGGACACCAGAGCACACTGGCTTCCTTGATCCTTGAAATTGGAGTGTCCAATGCTGTTTCCAATACAATAGGAGTGTCATATTTTTGCGATTTGAACACTACTCATGCTACTCATCTCTCCCTCTCCCTATATCCAGGATGGAAGGACAAACTGACTCCTGAGGAAGAGGACAGTGACCTGGGCCCACAGCAGACACTGTCTGAGCAAGAATTATGTCATTATTGCCTTATGTCTTTGAGATTTAGGCTGCTTTTCTTATAAGAGCACAATGCAGCCTGCCCTGACTCATAACCATTATATCCCCATGTCCTAACATATAGTCTGGCATATAGTAAATGCTAAACTGTGCATCCACTCAATTAATAAATCTAACACTTGAATCACCAATGAAATTAATAATGTTGAACGAAATGATTCAGCTCCATTCTCTATACAATAAAAACCATGAATATTTTAATCAATCGGAATGTGAGGATCATCATCTTTGGGGAATCAAACCATTATCTTAGCTACCCAAGTCTCTCCAGCTTTGCAGTCCAGAGGTCCTCCGGTAAGCTCAGCTGAATTTCAATTGACTACATTGTTCCACGAAGCTGTTTTCAGAAGTCATTATTTCTGACAGTGTCACTTACATAAATGGCCCTGTGTAAAGACACGGATGTCTTTTAGAATATCCCTGCAAAATTCCATCTGTGTGTGGTCCCTGCCTCCATGACAACCACAACTCAGATGCAGAAATTCTTCATAGGCACAGAGATTAGACCTCGAGGTCAAAAGCATTCAGAGAACATACTTAACAAATTAAATGTGCAGTTTCTCTGGCCAGGGAGGAGAGAAAGGGGATTAGCACGCGGTTGAGCTTTCTTTCTTGTTTGGGCCTTTTCTGCCAGCAGGAAGCGATGAATTTACCAGGAAAACAAAACAAAACACCCATGGGCTCAGTTTACTCTGTTTATGGAGATGTGACCAGGATCACCAGAAAATATTGGTGGATTCAGACAGAGGAGCTGACCTAGCCACCCACCAGAAAACTCACTGACTGCCACGGAGTCGACGCAGACTCATCGTGACCCTAGAGGGCAGGCTAGAACTGCCC